CCAGAAACCAGGTTTTTTCTTCAGATCTTGGTTAAGTTTTGGTTCTATAATTCGTATGGCAGAAGAGTTAGGCTTAAATAAAAATTACGATGAATGGAATTTACGCTTATCGGTAGAAGATGCGATTGTTCGTAAAAGAGTATGGCAAGCCTGTTTCTTATTCGATCAATTTATGAGTGGTGCACAAGGTAATAATAAATAACGTTCTTAATTAATTAAATAAAAAAAAAAAACTTTTAATAATCAATTAACCAATTATGTTGTAGGTAGAAATGCTATAGTTTCATTATCAAATGCAGACATCGAACTTCCGAGAAAGGAACATTATGATGATGAACAAGAATTTCAATTACAAACGGATTTTATTCATCTTGTAAGATTAACAAAAATTCTTGCCAGTGTTATGTCATTCATATCACCAGCTGGATCTGGATGTTCCCCAATATTACAACAATCATGGAATTCAAATCCAAAATTATCAATTCTTGATAATGCAATAGATGCTTGGATGGCTGCTTTACCTCAAAGACTTAAATGCCAACATTTACAACAACAACAACAACAACAACAACAACAAAATATTGGTGAAAATTATCAACAAAATGTTTTATTACAAAATCCCTTGACACATTTTGCAGGCTTTTTAAATCTTTTATATTACACTGTTCTAATTTTACTCCATAGACCCTTTATTACTAAAATGGAAAATAATCGTTCCAATTCCAATTCCAATTCCAATTCATCGTCACCAGATCATTTGATTATTTGTACAAATGCTGCCAATAATGCTTCACAACTTGCATCTGTAATGTTAGAACGTTGGTCTCCACAAGTATTTCAATACACTCTTCGTGGTGGAAATTATGGTGTTTATTGTTTGGTGGCATCATCAATGATTCATCTTGTCAACATGTCTTCTCCTGATTTAAGATTTTCAAAACCTGCACATGATAATTTATTAAGGACATTGAACGTTTTAAAAATTTGCGTAGATCATAGTTCTGCACGAGAATTACGTGATAAAGTACATGGGTTGGAGGTGGCATTCTCGGCTCAACAATCATTAGGTTTAATGTTTAATGGTGGTGTACCAGTCACTACCAACAACTTAACCAATGCAACTACAATCAATACAATAAATAATAATATAAATAATTTGAGAAAGCAACCACTGTCACCTTCTACTACTTATCCATCATCACAATTAAAAAACAGATTATCATCAATAAATTCAGACATAATAATAAGTCAACATTTATCAAACTCATTATGTGATGGTGATAATAGTAACATTAATTTTACATATTTTAATGGTAATGGTAATAATAATAATAATAATAATAATTATAATAATAATAATAATTATAATAATAATAATGATAATAATAATAATAATAATAATAATAATAATAATAATAATCAAGCATCAATATCATCAATATCATCATCAAATTCGTCGTCGTCGTCATCAACTTCATCACCATCACCACAATTTAATGAACATAATTCTTTATATTTAATGCCATCATCGCCATCATCACCACAACTTCAAAATCATCACCATCTTGCACATCAACAATCACATGATCATGATCCAATGACATCTTCATTAACTAATCATCATTTTGAATTCACCAATACAATTGACGGGGGATTAATCACTTCATCAATTAATCAATTACCAATCACAACTGCTAATATTACAAATCCAAATCCAGAAACATATAATACAATATTATCTTGCAATAATAATAATTGCAATGGGAATTCCACATCATCGCCATCATCATTAGATCCAACTTCTACAAATTATTGGGACACTGATCACTTTTTAATTTGGAACCAGTTATCAAATGGCCGCCATCATCAACATCATCAATTACCACCTCCTGAATATTGTTCATCATCGCCTTGTAATTCACCACCGACTACAATTGTTGAGCCGGTGATAGTCGCATCTCAAAATAATGAGGATTTGATACCAATTAGTTTTTCGATATGATGTGATACGGCATGCATGATGTGAATATTTGATTGTGCGTTTTAGAAAATGAGCAATCCTGTAAAGAGAGTGTGTGTGACAAGATAAAAATGTAATTACATTGATTTTTATTATACATAACTCTGCCATCATTTAATTAATTATAACTATAAATTCTTTTTATTTTAATACCTTTATTTTTAAATTTCTTATTATTAATTTAATTTAATTTAATTTATAACTAACTATTTAATAATTAATAAATACAATACTTTTTAATACATGTTTTCTTTAAAAAAACATTACTGCAAGATTTTAATCTTGCATAATATTCATAATATTTATGTAAGCAGTGTTGTGCGACCACTAGTACACTTATACTGTAACACGCCTGGAGTATATAAATAATTTCACATTAATGTTCATATATCATCAATTCATACCTAGATTAATTGATTAATAGATAATGGAACAATAACAACAATAAAACTTTAATATCAAATAATAATATATTTAATTAAGATTAATTTTTTGCCGTTCCACTCTGCTGCTTACTACTAGTAAGTTTTAGGTATAGCCTTTGCTTACTAATGTATGAATGAGATTTATGTGTGGAGAAAATTAATTTTTAAAAAAAAAAATGTGAAAAATGTGAAACATTAATTTTAATACTAACCATTTTTTTTTTAATATAATCATCACCACCCATCATCTTCATTATATCTTACATCCTGCCTGATCTGCGACGTTAAAGAAGTGGCACTGATTAATCCATTACATGGCTTCTAAACATCAAGAACTTTTGAAATTTAAGTCCTATTTAATCGAGTAAAGCGCATATAAAGGTACTATACTCTAATTTGATAAAGTTTTCGTTTTTCCAATAAAATTTTTGTAATAATAATAATAATAAAGATTCCCGGCAGAAAAAGTTTATGACTTGTAATTTGTGTACTCCACATATATAACTAAAACTCTTCTTTGCATGACAGACCCTCTAAAGATACATCTGCATCTAACGAATTATAAAAGCTTGTTTCACAATTTACATATACTATATACTATAAAGAGAAAGTATTAATTGCAAATATTCTTTTTGCCACAATTACAATTATTTGAAGGATCTATTGAATTTATGGAAACAATGGTTTAGTTTTAAAATTATAGTTTCCAACTAAAAATTCTCATTTAATTAGGAAATCTCCAAATTTTCAGCCTCACAAAATTTATTGAAAGGCATTTTTTTCTTTTTATAATCATGGAGTTAGCCAATTTAAATTAATCGACTAATTTGAATTTTAATTTTGATATTTCAATGATTGGTGTTTCAAAGAATTAAATAGGTATATGAAAATTCAATCGATCATATGACAACTCATCCCGTTGTATAAAATAATAATTTTTTTTATTACTAATATTTTCTTTATACGCCAACTTTTTAAAATCTCCAGATCAAGTTAGATCAAGTATTTGATGGTGGTTGGTTCCTTATAATAATAAGCCACTTTTATAATTAAATTTGCATCACAACGAGTTTTTAAAATATAAAACCATATTCATTGAAACGCGATTAGTAATTTTGGTACAAGTTAATAAAGATTATTTATTGATTTATCATTTATTTTATTAGAGCAAATTCAGCGATAAAGTTGTATGTATTCTAGATCACAATATATTTGGCCAATCAAAACAAACCTCCACTATGGTCCTTTGGGACTAGGTCCCAAAAAGTCCCAGACCAACCGTTTTAGACAAAGGGCCCTCGTGTAACGAAATTTTAAAGTTCTCAAAAATACTTGTAATTTTTCCAACAAAATGTCGAAATGGTTTTGAAGTCATTGACGAATTACAATCAAATTGAATCACAACCTTTTGTTTTTGTTATTGACAAAATAATGATGATATTCAATTAACCTCGGCAACCTCAAGAATATCATCTTCACAGAGAGATATTAATTATACATTTCAAGAATCTAACTCACAGACTATTGAGAAAGATTATTCTAACATTCTAAATTGTAACATTTCTTTAATTCTAAAATTCTATTTAAAGAGAGAATTCACTTTTTAAAAGAGCTTGGAATTATTCTTAAAAGAAAGGTCATGTTTATTTTTTAAGGAATTTTCAATTAAGAGTTCTTAGGAATCAGGGAACTAGATGATTGAACTATTAATATGTATAAATAATGTTGTAAATTTCTTAACTTCATGTATAATTTTAATCAATAATCTAATGATCAAATAAAAACTGCTCTTCAAATTTTATTCATATGGGAGGATTTTTGGAATTTTTTTTATATGGGGTATACTGCAACAAAATCAGACAAAGTGAACATTGGTATTTGCCAAGAATTCCAGGGATCAAAATTTAGTCATTATCAATAAAGTTTATTAAACAAGTCAATATTATGCATTAATAAGAAAATGTTGTCTATTGAATGAATGATATGTATAATACTCTGATAATTTCATGATGTTTAAAAGACAAATTTAATTTTTGAAAATTTTTAGAAAAAGTTGCCAACACCAACCTTAGAGTTATTTTTAAATATGGCTCTCAACTAGTTGCAACTAACTGCAGCATGTAAAGATTGAATTGCAATTACAGTTGCGGCAATATGAAAACTGAATTGCGGCTAATTGTGATTCCCATCTTTAGTTATTTTAAGATACAATGTTTTAACACATCTTAAGAGCTTGGTAAATAAACGTTGTTTCATTTATTTTCAATATATATATTTTTTCATCAGTTAAATATTGTGGAGAATCATTATTTTATGCATGGATCTAACCAAGACTTTTTTTTTTTAAAGAAAAAGTTTTGAGCTTACAACTTGTTATTTGAATTTTGCATATACATGTGTATGTATTTGTTATCAATGTTATTTAAAAGAAATCTAGAATAATTAATATGCATATCTAAAATAACTATGGAATAAAAATATTGTTCATCGATGAAAAATTGGATCCAACAAATTTTAACAACAATGCTTAGTTGTCAATTTATTAAACAACATAATTATTTAATTTTTTTTTTCTTGGTGGATTTTTCTCTTGGGATAATTCTTGTTATGAACAATAGCATGTTCTCATCTTCAGTTGGAGTTGCAGTACAAACACTTGTAATGTATTCTTTCAAGTGAATCATACTTTCCATTATTAATTCCTATAATAATGCATATGCTTAAAACTCATAAAGAAAATAAACAAAAACAAATAAATTTTGGCACAAAATAAAAGTCAAACCTTGAATTTTAACATTATGGGTACACAACATGACATCATACCAACCTCAATGCTATTATTTGGTATTTTTGTACATATAATTTCACGAAAATATATAAACCATGAAATGGAATTGCCGTCTCATATATTATTTTTCATTAACTGTAAAAAATAAATAGAATTAACAAAGTTCCTTATACAATTAAATATTTAAATTTACAGTTACTTACAATACAATACACTTGTAATCCATAAACCTTTATTGTATTCCAAAATGTACTTCTTCCACCATACTTCCTGATAATTCTG